CCCCCCACCTCTCCCTACACTAACTTTAGCTACCTTTTATCTTGCTTTTATCTTGAACATTCCAAGAGTCAATACTCAATCAATTATGTCAATCACAGGGATTGCATGTGGAGCAACCCTTGATAAACCCAAAAAATGGGGAATGTCAAGGATTGCAATGGGTATGAAGCAAAGGTGGTATAGCAGCGAGAGCTCTTGCCTCTCACTGATGAATCATATCCTAAATTCGGATAGGATCTTGGAATGAGGGCCACAAGTTTACTAGGCACAGGCTATTATAGTGCTACCCTCATAAAAACAAGAAACAAGCTAGGACAGGATCCTATTTGGAGCACCCCAAAAAATGGGTGGGGTAGCAAGTTAAGGACTGTATGTGGAGCACCCCAAAAATAGGCTTGGATCTGGAAATATGGCACACTAGTGTACCTATGACTGAAATAGGGGGAAGTGGACACAGAGGTAAAAAGTTAGTAGACATTTAAAAAAAAATTGGGTGATAGCTCCCATGCTTGTTTCTCCCTTTCAATAGTCCCTAGGCCTGCTGATGAAATTAAAAAATATATGTATAATGTAAGGGAATGACTTATTTTCCCAGTTGATATGGCTGCTACAGGAGAAGGGATCGATGGGGCACTCCTATTTGACCCTCCAATTTTTAAAAGCATTTCATATATAGTCCATATCCTTCCCCTTGGGTCACTACAAGTACAGAACTCACCTCATTTGTTTTAAAGTTTCAACAGAATTACAGGTGTTGATCATGCGAATAAAGTCTTCATAGGTCTCTGCATAAGCATAACGTGGTTTATGCTTGGCTGTCAATGCTTCTTTTGCCTCTAAATGGATTAACAATGTCTGATTGATGTAATCTGGATCACAGATCATCTCCGCCAAAGGCTTAATCACTGAAAACGTCAGAACCTCTCTCAGAAGACATCTCATTCCAGCACAATTCGAATTTTGCTCAGGCAGAAAACAGTGTAAGAGAACATCTGTGATTTTTCTAATATAATCAACTTCAGCTTTCTTACTTGACAGACAGGGATGTAAGACAAACGGTACAGGTGTTTCTGTAGTAATCCGGTTATCTGCTAACCTCAGGTTTTGGAAATGCGTCGTCAAGATTTCGACAACATCACTAGAAAGAAACCTCACCGTATCAACGTTCTTCAATCTTTCAACTGTATTAATAATGACAGCCCATAGCTCTTCGGTCATTAGATCTACAAACGCTACTTCATCCTTGCCAAGAACCCGAAACCAAGACAAACAGAAGTCCCTTATGAAGAAATCAAGAATCTCCTGGATGCTCTTGTCCACGGAACGCGAGATGACAGTTTCGTGCTTGTATGGTCTTTGAACGGCGTTCAGGGTTTTCTTCTCGAGAAAGCGCGAAACAGCGTAGAATTTCGACGAAAGCTTTGGAGTTTGTGGTATCTTTTGTTTTCCAGAGCCAAGATACATGACTATTCCAGTTAAAATGCCAAGAACAGAAGCACAAATGTAGGCCAATGTCAAAAAAAGGGAATGGAAAATCCCCAGCTGCCATAACAGAAGGAACACTACCCCACACGCACCGAGCACGTACAGCCGCATTATTTTTACTTCTGAGCAAATAAACCACACAGATCGGTGCTTCTTCTCTTTAAGAAGTATTACAGCTACATTTTGAATGAATTTTGCGTGTCAAATGAAAGAAAAACAGGATTCATATAAGCGTTTCTGTTATTTCTCGATCTTTTGCGGTTTGCAAAATACCTTGAGCCTGCAATCTGAAGTTTACCTGTACAGCGAAGTACCTTTTCTTTCCACAGGAAGCCCAAGCAATGTACTTGCTCCGTATTACGAAGGAATAGACGTGGAAAGTAGCAATCCATTGAATTTTAGCTTTTTTTTTTTTTGATAAAAATTGAAAAATGGTCCATATTCACACCTTTCTCTAAGATATTATTTATGAATTCGATTTGAAAAAAGTCAGTCATTTTTCACATTTTGCAAAAAACATGGACTATAGGGTTTTCATGGAAATGTGCCATCCAGACACCTTCCCTCCAAACAAAAAGAATTATTCTCTGAAATTAGAAAATCTGTCATTTTTGAGTACATGGTACCCTTGACCTTTGACGCCTTATCTTGGTTATGGAGGACCCGAATATGAAGCCATATAATCATGGTATCAATTTTATTCTTATCTTGGCAATAGGACAGAAACGTCAAGCCATATACAAGGGCGGATCCAGGGGAGGGTTCCTGGGTTCCTCACGCCCCTTTTCTCTATCCCTTTTAGCCTTATCCTGGTTATCGGGAATCGAAATGTGAAGCCATGTAACCATGGTTCTCTCCTAACTTTATCTTGGTTATCGCAAACCGAAAAATTAACATATATAACCATAGTACTCTTTTATATTTATCAAAGATTTGCAAATATTTATGAAAGATGTGAAATAGGTCGTTTTTGGCCATTTTTGAGCAAAAAGCATGGACTATARCCCATGGTTTTGATCGATTTTGGACCATTCTCACACCTTTCCAAAAGATATGCACAATTTATGAAGGATGCAAAATAGGTCGTTTTTGGCCATTTTTGAGCAAAAGCATGGACTATAGCCCATAGTTTTGATCGATTTTGGACCATTTTCAGACATTTTCAAAAGATATGCACAATTTATGAAGGATGCAAAATAGGTCGTTTTTGGCCATTTTTGAGCAAAAAGCATGGACTATAGCCCATGGTTTTGATCGATTTTGGACCATTTTCACACCTTTACGAAAGATATGCATCAGTAATTATTAAACTACCAAGAGTGGTATTGTCTGAAATGGGGACAACTTTAGCTTACAAAAATAATTTCCGGTGGCGAAACATTCTATTTGAGAAGGACAGGTTGTCACTTATATGCTTATGTTAGAGATTTGCTCTGGAGTAATAAAACCTAGAATCGCAAGAAAGAGGCGAATGTTGTTTTCCACCATAGGACCTTACATGCTAGTTGACTCAATGTTGACTTGAATTTTTTATAGAACTCTGTACGCGCGCCTGACTCCACGTGGCTATGACATATCAGTGCGCAGAACTTTTGACAGTTGAAGACATTTACAAGTACACTTCCTATTTATCCCCCCCCCC